CGTAACGACCGAAAGGTCGAGGTTATTAAGTTGTTTATTATATGGCTCACGAATTAAAGAAAAGAAAAAAATTATTCGAGCGGAAGTCGTCAATTTACATGCGGCGATGCGCACGTTTACCGATTCATTCATCGTCTCAAACTCAGGGCAAAACTACATAGTCAGTGAACTTCACCACTGTATAAGTACGTATTCCGTCAAAAACACACATTTCTTTACGGAAAAATGATTGTCACAGCCTCAAAAAGGTAGTTCCGACTTTTGTGGCGAAACGTCAACGCACATAGAAAAGACAGAAAGTGTTTCAACGTCGAAACAAACGGTCTTTCGGGGAAAGAAAATGCTAATGCTTCAGAACGCACTGCTCAGAATAACTCGATCTTCGCATTCGGTTTCGACAACATATCTTCTCCTTCTTCATTCGGAGATTTATGGATGAACTTTTCAAGCCTTGTGAACGTCTAAAACTTCCTACAGTTATCAGAAACACTGCTACTGACAGAAACCGCCCGATTGTTTACTGATGATCCTGGAAGCTGATTTGCACTTGCGTGTGTTAAAGCGAGGGAATCTATTTCATGAGAGCTGTGACGGCGTTCAATATTTCGGTAAATTATTGTGACTAAGATGATAATTTATAAGTTTCTTCGAGGTGTTCTGCTCAGGATGCATGACAGATCTGACGATGATGTTTTTCACTTAGCGATTTTAGCTTTACTTAAGATTCGGCAAACTTTGATTGTTTTTCACTTGTAAGTCTAGTAAGTCAAAAACGACTTCTATATAAACTTTATTAAGGAAAAATCTCTAAGCTTTCAGCTAATCGGAATTAAATTTACTTCTCTTACTGTTTTTAATCGGCTTTCATCGTTTCAATGCGCGTGAATTTTCAGAGCCGGGCTCTTCCTAATTTGCATAATCCGTAATCGGCCCGTGGGCATTACGGCTGCATAATGACCGCTCAGATCTCGCTCTTAGCCAAGCAGAGCGCGCGTTATATCGGCCACAAGCCAAAGCCATATAATAAAGCAGAAATAATCAGCAAAGTTACGATGACGCTTTCTTTAATCAACTCGAATGAACGATTTCGACTTTGTTAGTTGAGTTAACAAAGCTCCTTGTCTATGTTATTTTCGCAGTGTAAAATTTCACTGTGTTAAAGAAACACAAATGATGTTAGTAGCCTTTTGGCGTTGGTGAAAATTGATGCAGTATCTCAGCACAAAGGACAACGAAAGAATCTTTGTCAAGATTTGTTGACAATTGAAAACACCGACTCACATTATGCAAACGAGCTACTTATGAACGCGTCAGACTTTCCTTGCAAAAACTTTTGCAAACTCGCCAAACAAACAGAAACAATAAGAAACTATCAAAACCAGGGTTTAGTTGTGATTAAGCATTGCTTGGGGAATTCACAAATTAACTCGATACCAGGGTAAAGAGTTTTCTCACATAACTTTTCTTTACAGAACAAACGCAAAATCTTACCTGTACAACTAGCGCGAGCGGATGTTATTCATTCACAGCGCGAAATTGAAGTCTTGTCTTCGACCCTGAAAAACTCACCCTTTCCATTAGCTCAGAGCATAAAACTACATACAAGAGCCCTGGTTCTTATTCCCTGCCTTATTCCCTGCCATCGCTGTGAAAAATCTGCAAGAGAATCTCGGCACTC